AGGGTAAGAAGGTGGTTTTAAGTCTCAGCTCTTAGCTACTGCTCTGACCTCTTGGGCTTTTAACTCTGCATTTGGTTTTGTGTTTCTTATTTAATAAGACTGTTACATCTACAGGTGTCAGAACCCCTGGAACTGGAGTTACAGACAGCTGTGAAACTGCTATGTGGTGGCTAGGAATTGAACCAGGATCCTCTGGAAGAACGGCCAATGCTCTTAATCACTGAGCCATCTCTCCAGCCCCTGTCAATACTAATTCTAAGAACATTATTTTATGTACATTTAATGAAAAAATCTCTATACCCAATGTTATTTTTAAACATTTTTATCTTTATTTTACATGTAAATGTGTGTGTGTGTGTGTGTGTGTGTGTGTGTGTGTGTGTGTGTGTGTGTGTGTGTACCACATGTATTCAGGTACACCAAGAGGCCAGAAGAGAGTGCTAGATCCCTGGAAGGTACTGTACAGATGGTTGTGAGCTGCCCAATGTGGGCTACTGAACCTGGGTCTGCTAGAAGAGCAGCAAGCACTCTGAACCACCTCTCCAGCCCTCTGCCCAGTGCTATTTTGTTCCCCCTTTTTTTATTTACATTAATTAACAAAGTATAGTTGTGTTGCATCTACGAAATGTGATGCAATGTTCTGAGCTAGGCATGCAATGGGAAGTGAGTAACTCAAGCTAATTAGCATATCCATCCGTGTCCTGGTGTACCTTTCCCAAAGTGAGACATTCGAAGCTTAGTCTCTCACTCGCTTTGAAATGCGTGTGCCGTAGAGCACATGTGAAGGCCAGCAGACCACTGCATCCTCTTTTCAACTTTGCATGGCCTCTAAGGATCAAACTGAGCCATCTTGTCAGCCCCTCAGTCTTGTCTTTGAGACAGGGTCTCTCACTGTCCTGGAGGTTGCCCTGTCGATGGGACTTGCTGGCCAGTGAGCCCTGGAGATTGCTTTCCTCAGTCTCCCCAACACTATGATTATAAGCATGTGTCACCAAACACACACACACACACACACAGGGGTTTGATAGATTGAACCCAGGTCTGCCTATCCTACCTCCCTAGCACAATCACCTTAAAGCCACCTTTAACTGCTAGTTCTCAGGACTGTCGGTGAAGCCCCTTTTTCTGCTCACACACAAATGTAAAAAGTGAGATGTAAAGTTGGGTGTGGTGAGAGAAAATGCCTGTGATCCCAGTTCACAGGAAGAAGAGGCAGGAGAGCCGATGCACTTTAGAGAACAGCCTAGGCTGCATAGGGACTTCAAGACCAACCTGGCTGAAGAGTGTGACCCTGTCTGAAACACAGAGCATACCAACAGACAGGGTACACGCACATCAGATACGGAATGGCAGAAGTGGGTTTAGAATCCAGATGTGCTCCTGGCTTCTTTTCTCCCCTGCTCTGCACATCTTAGTCCCTCTATCAAGAGCTTTCCGTGTCATATCCCAGCGGTACCTTGGATGTTCAATAACCCCTCTGTAATTGTGTCTTCTGAGAAACGGTATTGGGAGATTGGGTTCAGAAGGTAATGTGTAGTCACACTCTCTCTGTGGCTTCCTATTTTATAGACATGATCATTTCTCCCTCAGACTTTGTCTTTTGAAACAGGTAAGTCTACCCTCCCCGTGGGGTGGGCCTGGACCCTCCCTGTGAGGGTGGGCCTAGAAGCACTAAAGAGCCGATTGGTGAAGGTTTTTTGTTGGAAATTCAAAGGCTCCCTTAGGGCCTGACCTATGGGGACTGAAAGGCCAGCCCCTAACATGGGCTCAGCCTAGAGCAGCTGCCTGTCCCTGTACATTTTCAGCTCTGCTTTATCCCCTTCTTCCTGCTCTTAATCCTGTGTGGACACAGGGTTTTGTCTAAAATTATATCTCATGGAATTTTTTTTAATCCTTTATCTCTTTGGCTCTTGGGGCTTTAGTTTTTAATCTCATTGACTTCTAGGCTTTCCTTGTTATCTGAAATGTCCTTTGTTTTCGTTTATCATTAACTGGCAATCTCAAGCCTTCATTGGCATGTGTATTCTCCCACCTTTCTCAGCTCCTGTTCTTTATTGTCCCTCTTAATCTTTCCTTGGCTGCTGTTTTTGTTTGTTGGCGATGGTGATGGCGGTAATGGTGATGATGGTAGTAGTGGTGGTGATGGTGGTGGTAGCGGTGTGATGGTGATGGAGGTGTCAGTGAAGTGGTGATGGAGGTTGTGATGGTGGTGATGGTGATGGAGGTGGTGGTGGTGATGGAGGTTATGGAGGTTTGTCAAGACACGGGTGTGTGGGTTCATGCAGTTCTGTGGAAAGAAGACTCAGGCATCTTAAGAATGAATCTAGCCTTTCATGGCTGCAGGGTGGTCTAGCCTTGAAGGACTGAAGCCCTTTCCCTTCACCCAGGGCATTTTTATTTTCTCTCTATTTACAGTTTAGCCAGTTAATCTCCGTATCTTCAAAGCAACTTGAAAGGAGCTCCCAAAGGTACAATGCCAAGAGCAAATTCCTCGATTTCTCAGGGACCACGTCTTCTGGGTTTTCTGAACCAAGTTTTGCATAGGCCTTTGATGCTTGGGAGACTCTCAGACAAGATCCACATAGGGCGATAAGAGAAACAAAAGGTGTGGGTTAAATGAAGAATGGATTAGGGCTAGGTGCTACTCTCTGCAGCCAGGCCAGGAGTAGCTCAGCAGGAATGGTGGTGACGGTAATGGAGGTGGTGACGGTAATGGAGGTGGTGATAATGGAGGTGGTGGTGGTGATGGAGGTGATGATAATGGAGGTGGTGGTGGTGATGGAGGTGATGGAGGTGGTGGTGGTGGTTATGCAAGGGGTATGATCATAGAAGTAATAGCCATAGAGGAGACCTGGGCTAGACATAGGGGCGGTTTTAAAAAGTTAGATTTTATGGTCTGAAAATAAGAAAATGTCAGAAGAAAGATATTGAGATATGAGTGTGGCAGAGCAGGTGGGTTGGAGAAGCTCACGGACTGAACTTTGGTCTTGAAGTGGATGCTTTCTCCTCTGCCCATCCCGACCTCACTCGACGTTACCATCTGTCCATCTTCCTGTCACACTGTCCATCCTTTGTTCTTACGGTTTCAGAAGACTATTTAATATGTATTTATAAATGTTCCAGAGTAAAATTATCTGACTTCGGAGACTGAGTTCCGGGCTTAGCAATGGTTACCATTTCACCCAAACTCAAGGGGTATAAGAAAATTGATGAGCTATGAACTGTGTGTTCTCCACATGGAAAATATCTTATAAAATACGATGAGGCTATGTGTTCGTATGTGGCTGCTCAGAAAACATTCCAGAGGGCCCCACTCCCACCCCCGCAGTGTAGCGCCATCCAGGGTGAGTCACCACCCAGGCCGTGCCTTCTGGGCTTGCAAAGTCCCAGCTCTGTTACCAATCAGCACCAACTTTGTATAAGTTTACTTCCCTGTTTCTGTGAATTCTCAGTCCGTCTGTTTTCCAGTGTAACAAACACACATTTTGTTCTTTTGTCCCCATGTCCCATAGTCCATTTCATCCTCCAGCGGGAGCTTAGGGAGCTGAGAGTGAGGTGAACCAGGGCTTAAAGCCCGCTCGTGACCTGTCATCCTCCCAAACCTGCTTAAAACCTGCCCTTCCTGTCTCAATGGACAGTTTATCCCCTTCTCTTCCATCAGTGACTCGAGCTTAAAGTAAGTCCATTTCATTGTGTCTCGGCAAATGTGAGGCTTATCCAAGGACCTGTTTCAAAATAAACCTTTACTAATTTAAAAGGAAAAAAATACAGACTCAAGCCTTTCCTTTAAAACAAATGTAAATGTTTTTATAAATTTTTATTGCTTGAAAAAAAAACCTACAAGTTTAAAAATAGATGTAGGAAGATTGAGTTGATGTATTTAGATAAGACACTTGGCCATGAAGGTGGCATGTGAAGAGCAGGTGCCCACAGGTGTGAAGCAGGTGCTGGGTGTGCAAGGCTGAGATGCTGATGTGACTTGGCTGCTTGTGTGTGGAGGGTCTTTCGTTTTATAAACCAAACTCAGCACTGTAAACTTGGAAACTCCGAGTCTGTCTCTCAGTCAACAACTTCGCTGCTTGGTACCCAACCAACAAGTAAACAAACAGAATCTCACAGTGCACAGAAAACATCATGGGATGGTGTCTTGCCAATGAACTGAGCTCCATCAATGGGATGGCAGAGCTGCATGGGACTAAATCCAGAATGGGGCCATTCCAGGGTTTTTCAAACTACAACCAGAAACATGACCCAAGAGGCTCATTCGCACTTTGTGAGAATTTTTATTGCATCTGGTCTTTAAAGCATAACATTAAGTAGATCTTCCACATGAGCCCCCCTGTAATATCTGGGTGACGCCCTGAGAACACAGAGTTTTAATGCCCCTGCACAGGACCTTGATTTGAGACTTTATACTAAGATATCAAGAGGCGGTAGAATGAGACTTTTCGAAGCAGTGGAAGACTAATGGCCAATGTAAATGTTCAAAAGCATTTGAAAGTTGATGTGGGAATCCCAGCCGTTTCACCTATATGGAGAGTAGCAATGGATGAAAAATGGAGACTTGGTGAGAATGTTTGGAGACTTTGTTGAATAACGTGTGCTAAAGAGTGGACACACATACACAAACACACTCACATCTTCATACTCACACACACTGAGTCTCCCACTCACACACATCTTCACGTACAGACACCCACTCTCCCACTCACACACACCCTCATGCACAGACACCCCCCCTCTCTATCTCACACATACACACACACACACACACACACACACACACACACACACACACACACCCATGCATCCTCTCTAGAACTGCCTTCTCCGTCCACACAAGCACTGTGAGGAGCTGAAGAGGAAAAGCCTTAGTGGTTTACTAGATAAATGTTAAGAGCTGGAAGCATGAGGGAAAGTGGGCTGGTGAATGACTCACAGTCAGTAAATCACTTTTGCTTTATTAAAACAGCTATTATGTAATGACTTTTTGAGACAAAGTCGCTCACCGTGGAGCCTAGACTGGCTGTAAATGTGCGTTCCTCTTGGAATGGCAGGTATGCACTACCACAAATTGAATATTTTTTTAAAAAGAAGTTATTCTTCAAAAACAAAATACTTATTAATCATTTACTTTCTTTATTATATAAGATACCTGCTTCTTTCGGAATTGCAAGTCTGGGCTTTGTGGGCCAGAACTCTAGTCAAAGAACAAACAAAGGCTGTTTTCACTCATCATGTGGAGAGATTTGAGGACTCAATGAAGCAAGGTTGGTGTTTTGATCCATTTTCCCTAAGCCTGGCATTTTCTGCAGCTTTCTCTTAGGCGCTGAGGTGAGAATCTTAAAATAAATCCTTTGTTTTGGACACATCTACACATTCAATATGACTTTAAGTATCAGAGCTGGTTGTTGTATTCCTTTTTTCTTAAAAAAAAAAAGTAGTTGTATGTGTGCTATATGCACGCGTGTGAACATGGGTGGGGGTTGGGGTGGGACTGACACGCTCGTGTGTGCAGAGGCCAGAGGGTGAGGTCAGGTATCTGGTTCTGTCACTTTGCTTTATCCTCCTGAGACAGTCTTTCATTAAACCAGAAGCTTGGAGTTTCCAGCTAGATTGGCTGGCCAGCAAGCCCCAGTAATCCTCCTGTCGCCACCCACATGGTCTCCCTACAGCAATGAGGGCTATAGAGATGTGTGGCCACACTCACTCTTTTATACAAGTGCCTAGCAGGAGCTCTTACCCCCTGAGCCATGGTGCATCTCAGGAGTGTGTCCTGTCTGTTTGTTTTTCTTTTCATTCAAAGCTTCCCGATCCAGAACTGCTTTTGGATGAGACAGAGACAAGGTTTCCCTTCTATACAATGTAGAAAGATATTTTTGATGTGCAAATGTTATGATTTTGGTATCATGAACCATGAATTTCTTTGATGGGTAACCAAACCAGCACCATCATTACTGGCAAAAGGAAAGGATTCAGGCAAAACGTTTCAACATCAAAGATGTAGTGAACAAAGAGTCTGTCCTAACAGTTAACTGTGGCCTAGCCAACACTTCTTTATGATAAGAGTTAGCCCATTAATTACATGGAATTTTATTTCGCGCCTGGTTCATTTGGGAGACGTAGATATACCAGCATGCGGTTTCAGAGTTCCCCAGAGCTCCTGCCACTTACATTCCTATTCTATTACGCACATTCTCTGTTCTGTAAGTGCTGTGATCTGCACTGCGAAATGTAGGCCTCAGCAACTTTTTCATGTGTATGCTAACTAAGACAGCAGACACCTGCTGAGGAGGGCAGACAGGGGCAAAAGTCCTGGGTCAGCTCTAAGGAGGGACATACACTCTCAGTCTCCTTGTACTCCATAGAGAGGTATGAGTCCCACTTTGCCTCTGTTAGTTGTTAAAATATACATCTGCACCTTTCACTAGGAATTTAGGTGCAATCCATGTCCTTGAATTTTTTTTTTTTTTGAAACAAGATTTCATTACATAGCCCAGGCTACTCTTGAACACATTATGTAGTTCAAGCTGGCCTTGAACTTATGACTTCCCTGATGCTATCTTCAGGGAGCTAGGACTACAGGTGTGTGCCAGCCTGCCCATGTTAGTGGGTACTAACAGTGAGTACCCACTCCAGCTATTGCTATTTCTCTTGTGCATTGCTCTCTAGTCAGAGTAGCAACCATCTCCATTAGAAAATTGCTGTCCTGGCCGGGCGGTGGTGGTGCACGCCTTTAATACCAGCACTCGGGAGGCAGAGACAGGCGGATCTCTGTGAGTTCGAGGCCAGCCTGGTCTACAGAGCAAGAACCAGGACAGGCACTAAAACCACACAGAGAAACCCTGTCTCAAAAAAAAAGAAAGAAAGAAAAAGAAAAAGAAAATTGCTGTCCTGTCTAGGTACAATCAAATGCTGAGTCTTCCCAACCCCCAAGTTCTTCTGTTAGAACCTAGTTGCTATGTGAGTCTGCATTTGTAGATTGGGCCTGTCAGGGAGAGATTAAGGTTAAATGATTCCTAAGAAGAGACTGAAGTAAGCTATTCTGTTTCTCTCCCCAAGCACACACATCAAGGCCATGTGAGGATGTCGTAACAGTGGCCGACTACGAACTCTGTCTCGAGCCCTTGGTAGAAGCAGAATGGGTGTGTCTACCTTCAGTACTTTGAGAAAATGAACTGCTGTAGTTAGAACCTGTGACATTGCACTCTGTCAGTGTGAGCCAACGAGTACTGACCCCTGAGGATAGCCAGGGTGTCTAGTGTGCACTGCCTTGTACAAAAAGCCCTGCCTTCCTTCTCAAAAATGTGGCCACGGCTCACACGGAGCCAACCAGAGTAATCTGAGGGTTTCAAGTTGAGACAAGGCTGGGGGTAGCCATTCTGTTTCCTGTGAGGGTTCTTTCTGCAGCTTGCGGGCAGTTGTTCCGGTATGGTACCTCACAGGGCTATCCTCAGCAATGTCTAGCCTTAGAAAGACATTCATCCTCTCAGATGTCATTTAACCCAAGCCCCTCCCACCAGCAGCCCCCACCCACAGACGCAGAAACATTAGGGATTAGGATTTCAGCATTTGAATTTAAGATGGGGACTCAACATTTTTACCTCTAACAAGGGAGGAAGCTGAAGATGCCATTTTTTTTAGAGTTACCAGAGGTCAAGACATAATGTATACAAAAGAACCTAAGTGGGCAAATGAGGCAAAGACAGAGGGCGGGAGAAAGTAGGAGAGTCTGGTAGGCAGAGCTGTGGTTCTGATTGTTTCTGAGACCTAACTGTGCCTCTTCCTTCTATCAATTTCATGCTGGATTTACTCATTTTTTTTTCAGGCTGTGTAGCTAATGTTGGGTCTCTGCCACTCACAGGGTCTTGTGCTGTTTAGTGTAGGAAGCATGACTTCCAAGCTTGATGTAATTCAAGGCTCAGAAATATTTGGTGGAATATGCAGACTGCCTGCTGCATATGCAGCCCACTTGTCCTCTCATAAGACAGATTGTACAGAATCATATTAGTGTCCTGCATTACTACTTAGGGTTTGAAGCGGCCTTTTATTACTGTCATGGTCAACTTAAGAATCTTGGGGAGAAGTCACAAGCATGGTGTCTCCTATTAAAGGTAAATATGAGTGTGTTCCTAGTTGGAGGCAATAAAAATATTTTTTTAAGATTTTTATTTATGTGTAGTTAAGTGTGTGTGTGTGTGTGTGTGCTTAACATGTGCTCATGAGTGCAATGCCCACAAAGACCAGTAGAGGGCGTTGGATTTTCCCTTGAGCTGGAATTACAGACAGCTGTGGGTTGCATGACCTGGATACTCATACTTGAACTTGGGTCCTCTGCAAGAGCAGTAAGCACTCTTAACCACTGAGCCCTCTCTCCTACCCCTGAAAATTATTTTTGAGGGACCCCATCATCCACTGAGGGAAAGAGCATAGGATTTGGAACACTGGACGGAGCCCAAGTCAGGCTCTGTTGTGTGGAAACTCAGCCAGGGTTTAGGAAGGGCAAGTACATCTGTGAAGCAAAAGAAAATACTGCATGTCCCGCTCATGTGAGACTGCAAGACAATGGACATGCAAATTAGGAACCATGAGTCATATATCACACAGTAACGCATCAATCCTCAATTCTACTTTTACCCAAACTTTAAGGTAACTTGTCTCACCGCTTTACTTCCTGCGGAGACAGATCTCTGAATACTATTACTGGAAACATGTGTGCCTCTAAAACAGCCATCGGTTGTGGGAGGAACAGATAGGAACATCTACAAGGTTGGTCAGCAGTTCTGTTGGCATGAAAGGATGGCAGAGAGCTCACATCTGCTGCGGAGCTCTGAGCTCCCGGCTCTGCGTCTTTGTGAAGAAAAAAGTGAGGTCAGCCAGGGTTCTGAATGCTTGCAGCAGACTCATCTAATTTGGCTCTCCCAAGGATCTCTTTGGTATGTTCATTCCTTTTCTATCGCTGTGATTAAAAAAAAAAAAAAATAACCTGAACAAATGCACCTTACAGAAGAAAGGGTTTATTTTAGCTTACAGTTCTGGGGGGAGAGAATCCATCATGGCAGGACAGGGTGCCAGCAGAAGCTTGAGGCCTGCCCAGCAGTCAAGAAGAAAAGAGATCACATGTTATCTGTGCACAGGAAGCAGAGAGAGAAAGCCAGAAAGAGGATGGGGGGAGGGAAAAAGAGAGAGAACAGGAAGTGGGAACAGGCTATAAAACTCAAAGCTTGCCCTCAGTGACATACTTCCTCTAGTAAGGCTCCGCCTCTTAAAGGTTCCATAACCTCCCCAAACAGCGCCACCAAGTGGAGAACAGGTGTTCAACCAAATGAGCCCTGTGGAGGACTCAAACCACCACATTTGGTGACCAACATGTTATATGCCTCTCCCTCAGATCTCTTTCTTTTCAAATCTTGGATTTCTTCCTTCAAGATGTGTACATGTTTGTGTATGGGGGAAGGGAGGAACATTTTTACTTTTCCTGCTGATAGGAAATAAAGAGATTACCTTACACACATTAAAATTGATCCTTTTTTTTCTTTAGGAAAATACTATTAGCTATGAGTTTAATGTATATACATAATATATTTATGTCATTTTATATATATGAATAGTATATATATGCTGTGGAATAATCCTGTGTATTGTAAAAATGTGCTGCTCTCATTGTTGATAAAAAGCTGATTGGCATTTATCAGAATGTTGAAAAAAATAGCAAAAACATATCAGACCCTTTCCAGCATTTTAACTAGAAACATATTATTATATTCAAATTATTATGTACATTATAAAATAAAACAAACATATCAATATTTAAACTAATTAGGAATACACATTTTATATAAGACATAAAGAAACATAAAAATTGAAAAGTAGAGAAAAAATGGAATCAAAACTAAAGTTGAAATCCTTCAAAAACTTGACATCTTTGTCTCTCTTAGAGGGGTTTGCTGGGTCTGCCTATTAGAAACAACTGAAAACTCATGCAGTTGGTCTAAGTTCTCCACTATATGGAAGTGCTCAGTGGGAGAGTGTTTGCCTAGCAGGTGGGAGGGTTGAAATCCCACCCCATCATGGGGTGGTGGGGAGGATGAGGAAGAAATGGAAAGAAAAGATGGAAATAGAGGAGAAAAATTTCATAGCACTAAAAGATGAAAAAGGAGGCCCAGATGTGAACATTGAGAAGAAATGGAGGAGATAAGAAAAGACCGCCAGCTCATTCTCAACGTAGAAGACACACCCTGTGCTGATTTCATATTTCTAAGGTACACTT